TTTGAAATTTTATTAGAGCCCTTGCAAAAAAAAACACATTTGCTAACCATGGTGAGTAGGATATGGCTTGGAGTTCAGAGAAACTCCTAAGTTTACAATAGAGTTAATCCAGCCTCTAGTGGCTGTCTCATTGACAGCCGCTAGAGGTTCTTCCGCGCTTCTCATTGTTAAAATCACAGTGAGAAGATGCTGACGTCATTGAATACATGCGCGGCAAGAGCATGCACATTGCCTCTTGCCGCGCATGCACATTCAGCGCTGACGTCGGAAGAGGGAGGAGAGATCCCCAGCTCTGAGGGTGCCTGGTGCTGGAGAAAGGTAAGAGTTTAACCCTTTCCTCCCCCTTCAGCCAGGCGAGAGTGGGACCCTGAGGGTGGGGGGGACCTAAAGACCCTATAGTTCCAGGAAAACGAGTTTGTTTTCCTTGCACTACAGGGAGTGCAGAATTATTAGGCAAATGAGTATTTTGACCACATCATCCTCTTTATGCATGTTGTCTTACTCCAAGCTGTATAGGCTCGAAAGCCTACTACCAATTAAGCATATTAGGTGATGTGCATCTCTGTAATGAGAAGGGGTGTGGTCTAATGACATCAACACCCTATATCAGGTGTGCATAATTATTAGGCAACTTCCTTTCCTTTGGCAAAATGGGTCAAAAGAAGGACTTGACAGGCTCAGAAAAGTCAAAAATAGTGAGATATCTTGCAGAGGTATGCAGCACTCTTAAAATTGCAAAGCTTCTGAAGCGTGATCATCGAACAATCAAGCGTTTCATTCAAAATAGTCAACAGGGTCGCAAGAAGCGTGTGGAAAAACCAAGGCGCAAAATAACTGCCCATGAACTGAGAAAAGTCAAGCGTGCAGCTGCCACGATGCCACTTGCCACCAGTTTGGCCATATTTCAGAGCTGCAACATCACTGGAGTGCCCAAAAGCACAAGGTGTGCAATACTCAGAGACATGGCCAAGGTAAGAAAGGCTGAAAGACGACCACCACTGAACAAGACACACAAGCTGAAACGTCAAGACTGGGCCAAGAAATATCTCAAGACTGATTTTTCTAAGGTTTTATGGACTGATGAAATGAGAGTGAGTCTTGATGGGCCAGATGGATGGGCCCGTGGCTGGATTGGTAAAGGGCAGAGAGCTCCAGTCCGACTCAGACGCCAGCAAGGTGGAGGTGGAGTACTGGTTTGGGCTGGTATCATCAAAGATGAGCTTGTGGGGCCTTTTCGGGTTGAGGATGGAGTCAAGCTCAACTCCCAGTCCTACTGCCAGTTCCTGGAAGACACCTTCTTCAAGCAGTGGTACAGGAAGAAGTCTGCATCCTTCAAGAAAAACATGATTTTCATGCAGGACAATGCTCCATCACACGCGTCCAAGTACTCCACAGCGTGGCTGGCAAGAAAGGGTATAAAAGAAGAAAATCTAATGACATGGCCTCCTTGTTCACCTGATCTGAACCCCATTGAGAACCTGTGGTCCATCATCAAATGTGAGATTTACAAGGAGGGAAAACAGTACACCTCTCTGAACAGTGTCTGGGAGGCTGTGGTTGCTGCTGCACGCAATGTTGATGGTGAACAGATCAAAACACTGACAGAATCCATGGATGGCAGGCTTTTGAGTGTCCTTGCAAAGAAAGGTGGCTATATTGGTCACTGATTTGTTTTTGTTTTGTTTTTGAATGTCAGAAATGTATATTTGTGAATGTTGAGATGTTATATTGGTTTCACTGGTAATAATAAATAATTGAAATGGGTATATATTTGTTTTTGTTAAGTTGCCTAATAATTATGCACAGTAATAGTCACCTGCACACACAGATATCCCCCTAACATAGCTAAAACTAAAAACAAACTAAAAACTACTTCCAAAAATATTCAGCTTTGATATTAATGAGTTTTTTGGGTTCATTGAGAACATGGTTGTTGTTCAATAATAAAATTAATCCTCAAAAATACAACTTGCCTAATAATTCTGCACTCCCTGTACAGTGGTCCTTTAAGCCCTGATATATAATATAGTATTACAATTATAAAGCATAGACGAAAAATATTAACTAATAAAATGCTTAGAAAACCTTAGTAAAGAATTCACAGTTTCTTTTCTAGTTCCATAATTGTAAATAAACTGAAGAGACTAAATACTAAATGCCACAGCTGGGTTGTTTTGTAAAACTCAGATTTATGACTCTGTGTTAGCAGAATCCAGGGGTTGGGGATAAGACAGATAAAGAGGTCAATACCAGGATCATGTTTCCAATTAGCAATGCTACCATTGTGTTCTATATTGGTCATATCCTCATCAATTCAAAGCTTAAATCGACGTGGGTTTCTCTTTAAAAAAACAAAAAAACACACACATGATAATGATCATCTGCTTCCTTGACTCTTTTCAATACATGTTGTTAGTCTACAAATACTTATGTTGTGATACATGTTTTGAGTTAAATTTATAACATGGGTGCAGGTCATTAAACTAAGCTGTTAGCCCTAGAAAACAAATCATTTTTGCTGTAGACAAAACTCAGTAGAAAATGGTATATATTTGCAGTACGTAGACACACTAGAGCATCTTGCCATTTTAATGAATACTTTGAAAGTGGTGTAATAGCTAAAGGGACACTATAGGCATCTAGACTACTTCATCTCATTTAAAGGGATAATGTAGGGCCAGGAATACAAAGCTGTATTCCTGGCACTAACTATCCCTCTGCCTCCACCCTCCCTCACGCCTCCTCCTACCCAGTAATTAAAGATTAAAAACCCTTTATTAACTTACCTCCTCCGCCCCCTCATCCGTCCGTGGCAAGTGGGTCTAATGAGTATGCGCGGCAAATACCACACACGCATTAGACCTCCACATAGGAAAACATTGAATCAATGCTTTCCTGTGGAGAAAAACCTGATGTTGGATGTCCTCATGCAGAGCGTGAGAACGTGCAGCATCAGATAACGGACCAAAAGTCCATCTGGATTCCAGAAGCTCTCTGTTTTTCAAAAGTCCATCTGGATTCCGGAAGCCCTCTCCGAAGGCAGACTTAGAGCTGCAATGTAAACACTACAGTTCTCTGGAACTGCAATGTTTAACATTGCAGCACTAGGTGCAAAATGGACACAGCACCCAGACAACTTCAATTAACTGAAGTGGTCTGGGTGCCTACAGTGTCCCTTTAAGTGATCTGGGTCCACTGTCCTGCTTAGCCCTGCAATATAAAACACTGCTATTTTAAAGAAACTACAATGTTTACATTGCTGTGCAAAGACTGCCTCTAGTGGCTGTCTACCAGACAGCCACTAGAAGTGCTTCCTGCAGTTTCACAGATTTTGCATGAGGATGCCCTGACTGTTGACTTTTTTAAATTAGTTTTTTTAAGTGAACCCAGCTTTTTTTCTATAATGTGGATAGATCTATAGTGATATTCCTCTAGGAATGACTCTTCTTATATTAGATCAATTTATTTAAGTGGCAGACTAGTAGAACAGTCTTTCAAAAAATAAAATCTAAGGAGTGAGCAAAAATAAAAGAAGGCCAAAAGCTTGACAGGTGCATAGTCGCCATATGGGCAGGCGGAATCTAACAAACAACTCCACATACGTAACCCAATAAAACACAGGCACTATGGTATATGGGTCAAAAATGCACACAGCTTTATTAAATAAATACAGAATTGGTAATAAATTAACATTGAAAAGTCATTACACCCACACCCCGCCATACCACATCTGTATTCCCACAGTTAGATATAAAAGGCAATGACCCATATATAAACACGTAACATATAACAGTATTTCAACATGAACATAAATTAAAGGGCCAACATTTTTAATTAACCATGGCAGCCACCGACAAGCTCAAAACCTACCAAACTTACCAAGAACCATCTAAACCATTTCCAAACCATCCAAAAGGAGAGCCTATTTCATATCCTTCAGCTCTGTATCCCGCCACAAGCTTAGACCTTTATTCCTTAAGCCATCTGAGATCCACCACCCTGAAGAAACAGCACCTTAAACAGCTTCTCCTGCCAACCCAGGTTCAGAAGGTCCTACCCCATTTCGGAGAGGTGAACCTTATCCAAGTGATAGTAATCGAACAATTCAAACTCCAACTCCCGATGCCGTACTACCACTCCCCCCACCTTCTTGACAAAACTAGTCATCAAGCTAACGGGGCACGCGCGTGCCACCACTGCCGCTGTGGAACAATCTGACCGACTCCCATCTCCCAATCTTCTTGACTAAGGCCTCCCCCAAGCCCAACTGTGTGGCTTCCGTAGCCGCCCCCATGCGGAAAGAATGAGTTCCAAACTTACCAGCATGTAACCCCAGTCTCGCCAGGCCTTGGTAAACTGAAAGCGAGACAGGGAAGAACCATCCGCATGCACAAGTAACGACCCCCCAACCGTGGGCCTCCTAGCCATATACTAAGAAACTGCAGCCACCGGGAACAATGTTGACCCCGGCAGAGCACACAGTGTCACATCTTTACCCATGCCCCTGACATCGGTCTTGGACTGGGTCAAGTGAAGCAAAAGTCAACCCTCCTACATGCACACATCAGGCACCTGAAGGCACCCACTAGCCACCCAATTAGCACTTACCAGTTCCCTGATCCGCGCTAAACAGAAGCCCTTCAAATTTGTCAAAACAAATCTCAGGTAACACTCAAAGGAGACCCCCTAACAGCCTCACGGACATCGGCCTCTGGGCATCAGGAACCTTGCGTCCACTCCAATAACCCTTGAGCACCTGGCGAATCACAATAGATCTACCCATCCGTGTAACTTGAACCAAAATGCCAGCGTCGCCATATTCCTATCCACCACCGCCAAAGATATGCCCCCGTTAACATTCTGAATGTAAACCAAAGGAAGGCATCGAGTAGCGACCCCCCCACCAGCGCCTGATCTATCCCAGCCCGCCCACAAGCTTTCCCATGCTTTCCAGACGTTACTTATGCAGCCAACGTGCCTGGTGCCAAAGAAGCTCTCACGTGCTAGCTTCGGCAGCACATATACTAAAATTGGAACGATACAGAGAAGATTAGCATGGCCCCTGCACAAGGATGACACGCAAATTCGTGAAGCATTCCATATTTTTTCCATTGTACAGCGCTACGGAATTTGTTGGCGCTATATAAATATTAAAATAATAATAATAATAATAATGTATCCCCCAAGCAAGACGCTCCGAGGTACTACATCTCGTCCGGGCATGCCTGCCCCACCTCTTGCGCTTCGGGTGCCACCATCCGAAACCAGGTCCACTGCAAACAAGATAAAGCGTCAGCCACCATGTTCAAATACCCTGGCACATGCCGCGCACACAAAACCACATTGGGTAACATACAGAGCAAAACAAAGCGCTGCAACAGATGCACCACCGGTTTGGATGATGAGGAGAGATTATTGACTGCATGTACAACGGACATGTTATTCAAAAAGAAGACAACCTTCCAATTCTGAAACTTGTCACCCCAAAGAGCCAGTGCCACCACCAAATGGAACAGCTCCAGAAATTCCAGGTTACGAATGAGGGGGCTCTCCGCGCACCAGAGACACTAAAATATGCCCCGAAGCCCACGCTACCCAACACATCAGTGAGGCGCTCAAGATCCACAACTGAAACCCCCGCTTTTTTCCAAAAGAACACCAGACTGTTACAATCTCGCAAAAACGCATCCCACACCTCCAGATCAGCATGCATGAGCGACAACACTCTGATGAATTGGTGCGGCGAACGCACACCCACTGTAGCCACAGACAAGCTCCGGCTGAAAATACGCCCCATCGAAATCACCCATGCCCAAAGAACTTCTGCTACCACGCCCTGCAGCCCCACCAGCATATCCTGTGGCAGCCACCACTCACCTTGCTCCGAATCAATTTCCAGGCCAAGAAAACTTAGACACTCCATTGGGCCCTCCAACTTACCCGCCGCAAGGGGCACTCCGAACTTCCCGCCACCCATTCGATGGTTTGCAGCAGGTGAAGACTGGTCGAGGAGTTCACCGGCCCCACACAGAAAAAATCATCCAGATAGTGTACTACCGACTTACTCCCCGCCTCCATCTGAACCAATCACTCCAAAAAGGAACTTAATGTCTCAAAGTAAAAGCAAGAAATCGGGATGCACAAGTCGACATAATACCCCCCTTCAAAGAAACAACTCAGCAAGTGATGACAGTCCTGGTCAACGGGTAGCAAGCAAAAATCCACTTCCAAATCCACATTAGCCATCAAGGCCCAATGCCTGGCCTTCTTAACCAACTTAACCGAATGGTCAAATGATGCGTAAATGACCGAGCATAGATCCTTATCGATGTCGTCATTCATCGACTCACCATTTGGGTAGGAGAGGTGGTAAATGAGTCTAAACTTCCCAGGTTCCTTCTTGGGAACCACCCCAAGAGGAGACACCCGCAAATTATCCAGAGGAGGCATTCCTACCCAACTGCACCTCCTTAGTTAGCTTCTCCCACACCACCTCCAAGAACTCTGCCACCAACTGTAGATTGCGCAACCCCCGTGACCCACCCCTGTCCCGGAAGGCAGGGCACGCCCCAGCCTTACCTCACTTAAAACACCTATTGAGTCCATAGGTGCCCCCGCAACCTGAGCACCCGAGCTTCCCATATCCCATCCAAGTAGGAGAACAATGAGGAACACAGCCCCGGCGACTTTATGCCGAGGACACTGGCCAGGACGAAGAGCGTCTGCAACCAATTTCCGAAAGATTTCAGTATCTTGCGATACCTCTTCCGTTTCTCCTCCTCCTCCTTTTTCTCATCTTTCTTTTCCTCCTCCTAGATGCCAACAAAGTCCTCCAATGGAAGAAGAGAAAATTTAGCAAAACTCACCCTTCCACAATTTCCTTTTCACATCCTGTTTCAGATGTACCCCAAATGGGCCTGTGAACGATACATAAGCGTGCTGCCGCGCCACGTCTGGAATGCCCCCTATCAATTCTGCCCTCTCGCTCATGACCTCAGGCGACCCCGGGCCGCACCCTGCCACTTCACCTGCGCCTGACCCCGCACTTGCCGCTACACCCGCCCTGTGGGCCCACACCGGGCCCACTCTAGACTCCTGACTACCCTCTGCCCCCAACGAGCTAAGCAGGGGCTGCAACATGTTCAGCAATGTGTGAGAGTGTAGTGCAAAATCAGCTACACTGGCCTAGCCTCCCCGCCATAGGCGGCCCTGGGGCTGCTCCGCCTAATCCAATGGGTCCAAGATGCGCAACATCCGCCGACTGCATGCTAACTGAGGAGCCCACCCGATGGCGAGAATGACCAGAAGAAGAACAGCTCTGAGACCTGAAATGAGAATGAGAAGTCCTGGGCAGGGTGCACTGTTCACGATCTACCCTCCCGTCCTGCTTTTGGGAGCGTCTGCCCGACACCAAGGCCTCCCATCGAGAATCATCATACTTCTTCCCCCCAGGGGCTCAGAAGGCCCCAACCCTGGGGCTACGGCTCCTGCCATCCCCCCCAGGCGATCTGCCCCGCCACACCCGCCTGAGGCTCACATAATGATCCCCCGCCGAGCTACCAGAGGGAGACCTGCCACTCCCTGACCTTTGAGGGGACCTAACCCTATGGTACCTACCGCGTGACTGGCGTCTCCCATGTCGCCGCATCCTAGGGGATGGAACATCCCCCACCAAAGTACAACCCCCAGGGTCTACCTGCCCCCCTTCCAGGCCAACCTCCACCCCCTCCCCCTGAGGCACGGTCTGAATGACCCGCCTGCCTCCCAGACTCTTCCTGCTCCCTACCCCGGGCTGGTGGACACCCCCCCAGCAGATCCGCCTGGTGGCCCCCATCCCACATAGCAGTCCAGGGGGCCCTCCACACCAAGCGCATCCCAATCCGGCACGGGGGTCGCGCTGCCAAAGTTCTGGGCAGCCACCTGTCGTAAGGAGTGGCTCTCAACCCTGCGTCCACCTCCCCGACTCGCAACTCGCTCCGGCAACCTTGTGAATGCCCGGTCCTCCTCCACAAGAACCCACACCTGTGCTCAGCTGATGTGGGGGCCTCCTGACCAATGTAGGCCGACCATCGCTGTCATCTTGCTCCACCGGTAACACCGATCCCAGCCGGGACCAGAGCCACTGAGCTCCACGGTTCCTCGCTACCATTCTGATCCCCTCAACATCTTCTCCACCTTGTCCATCCTGCAAAAAAGAGAAAAAGAGAAACCTACCCGGCCTAATAACTGGACACACAAGGTACACACCAACTCAGCAAGGTAGGCAAGTTAACCCCTTAAGGACAGAGCTTCAAAAGCTTGTATTTCACTTAATGACAACAGCATTTTTTTCATTTTTTGCTGTTTGTGTTCAAATGCAATTTGCATTTTACTAATTTGTTGCACCAACACATATTATACATCGTTTTTTAAAGGACAGAAAGGGCTTTAATTTGATGTAACACACATATGTATAAATGCTTATTTATTATAAAAAATACAGAAAAATTTTAAAAAAAATGAAACTTTTTTGTTTTTTTTTACAGTTTTTGCAATAATAATGTGTACATAATTAGTGCAGGTTAAGAAAAGTAATTAAAAATAAAATAATTTAGTTGTTCTGATTTACAGAATATATAATATGTCTGGGATTTTACGTTTTTTTTGGTAGTTACAGGTCACAAAGCACAAGGAGTAAAATAGACTTTTAATGTGGAGCGATCTTAGAATTTGGTATGTTTGTCTTGTAAGCTTAATAGCCATAAAAGAAAACAAAATTGCCACACAAAAGTATATATTTATATAAAGTAGACATCACGGGCTATTTACCTAAGGTTGTTTTGACACTTTCTACGTAGCCATTTCACCGCCAACCTCTGCTAAATATTGGAGTAAAATTGTGTTTTTTGGGGGTTTTTGGCACACAAACTTATAACAAAGAAATTCTCATGTATATTTTGTAAAGTTGGTGTGTGCTATTCCTGTACAAAGTTTTATTTTGTGTTCAGTTACATCTGCTGAGTAAAATGACACCCCCATTGTATGTCTTTGGCACTATTTTGTGAAGTTACAGTGCCATACAGGATACCTGTCCTTTTCAGTATTCTCAGTAGAATTTTGAGAGATGGATTTAATGAGCCCTAGCTTCCATTTGGGGTATTATAACAGTTTGACTATTCAAGAAAACCCCACAAAGGCCCAGGGACGTATTAGCCGCGAGGCAAACAAGGCATTTGCCTTGGGCGGCATTTTTCAGGGGGCCCCCAAAATGCCCAGGGCAAATGTCTAGTTAACCTTGCGGCTAACAGACATGCTGGGCTGGCGGGCGGGCGGCGAGGGAGCACTTCCTCTGAGCACTCTGCTCAGCTCCCTCGCGCGCCGCAGAGTGAGGCTGGGAGCCGGAATATGACGTCATCAACCCGGCTCCCAGCCTCACTCTGCGGCGTGCGAGGGAGCTGAGCAGACCGCTCAGAGGAAGTGCTCCCTCGCCAGCCGCTCGCTCGTCCAGCGCCGCCCGCCAGCCCGACCGGCAGCCACTGGACCACCAGGGAGAAAGAGGAACCTCCCCCCCCCCAGCACTACCAAAGGTAAGGAGGCTGGGGGTGGTTTAAATTAAAAAAAAAAAGTGTTAATGTGAGTGATTGTGTGTGTGTGTGTGTTTGTGTCTGACTGTGTGTGTGTTTGTGTTTGACTGTGTGTGTGTCTGACTGTGTGTGTGTGACTGTGTGTTTGTGTCTGACTGTGTGTGTGTCTGACTGTGTGTCTGTGTGTGTGTGTGTCTGACTGTGTGTGTGTGTTGTGTCTGACTGTGTGTGTGTGTGTCTGACTGTGTGTGTGTGTGTTATGTGTGTGTGTGTGTGTTGTGTGTGTGTGTGTGTGTGTGGTGTGTGTGTGTGTGTGTGTGTGTGTCTGAGTGTGTGTGTGTGTGTAGTGAGTGTGTGTGTCTGTTAGTGAGTGAGTGTGTCTGTTAGAGTGAGTGTGTGTGTGTGTGTCTGTTAGTGAGTGTGTGTGTGTGTGTGTCTGTTAGCGTGTGTATGCGTATCTGTCAGTGAATGTGTGTGTGTGTATTTAGAAGGGGCGGGGGGAAGGGTTGGGTGGGGCTGAGTTTTGTCCTGCCTAGGGCAGCACAAAACCAGGATACACCACTGATTATAACAGTTTGACTGTTCAAAAAACCCCCACAAAGGCCTACCATTTGTAAAAGTAGACAATCCAGGGTATCTCATAAGGTGCATATTGTGCCTTAACATACCCCCATTTTTTCACCAATATATGCCAAAGTATGTGGTAAAAAATAATTTTGTGCATTTTTTACATACAGATTGCATTTTTGCTGGGCGTTTTGTATATTTCATATGTGCCACTAAGTTCAAACCTCCCACTTTATTCTCAGCTAAGTCTTCTGAGTAAAAAGACAGCCCCAATGAATGTCTTTGGCACTATTTCGTGAAGCTACAGTGCCATATAGAGGACCAAACCATATCCGTTTTTACCAAACTTAGAATTTTGACGCTGGGCCTATGTGCAATTTCCAAGCATCTTCGCAGGTTTTAAATTCAAACTACCCCACAAACGCCTACCATTTCTTAAAGTAGACACCCCAGGGTGTTTCAAAAGGTATGTTTTTAACCTTAGCGTGGAATCATTTTTCCGCTAGCTTGTACCAGATGTAATGGTAATAAGCGTTTTTTCTGCCTTTTTGACATTCAAAGTGAGTTTGCACAGTATATTTTGCAAACCTTATGTGTGCTACGACTGTATAATACTTCATATGTTGCTCAGCTAAGTCGGCTGAGTACAGCAATACCCCCGTATGTACCTTTGCCAGGTATGTGTGGACATCAGAGGCGCACATTTGGGACACAGCCATTCCAGTTTTTTTCAAACTTTTAATTTTTACGCTGTGCCTATGTCCCATTTTAGAGTATTTTACCAGGCTATATAATCCAAACACCCCATAAAGCCATACCATTTCTTAAAGAAGACATCCCAGGGTATTTCAAAAGGCATATTTTGAACCTTAGCGTGGGATCATTTTTCCGCTAGCTTGTACCAAGTGTAGTGGTAATAAGCATTTTTTCTGCCTTTTTGACATACAAAGTGAGTTTGCGCAGCATATTTTGCAAACCTTATGTGTGCTATGACTGTATAATACTTCATATGTTGCTCAGCTATGTCGGCTGAGTACAGCAATACCCCCGTATGTACCTTTGCCAGGTATATGTGGATGTTGAAGGGGCGCATTTGAGACGCAGCCATTCAGTTTTTTTCTAACTTTGAAGTTTTACGCTGTGTCCATGTTCCAATTTGGAGTAGTTTAGACGGTTGGTTATTGAAACTTCCCCACAAACACATACTATTTATTAAAGAATACACCCTGGGGTAATTCAAAAGGCATATTTTGAACCTTGGCATGGGATAATTTTTTCTCTAGTTTGTTCCAGGTGTAGTGGTAATGAGCGTTTTTAAAATGTATTTTTTTACTTTTTTTTTACTTTTTTTCTTCTAAAAACTAGTTTTTAAACATTTGTTTAGCTTATTAATTTTTTTCAAACTTTCCTAAACTTTCTTAAAACTTTTTTTTACAGATTTAACATTTTTCTAAGCTTTTTTTTTTTTTTTTACCATTAACCCCTAATTAGCAGTAAGTAGCACTAACAGTAAATTCCCCATTTTCCCATAACTCCCACCCACCCCAGCTAGCAAAATATATAGTTATAAAATATTTTAATTAATTAATTAATTAAATTGAACCCCTGAGGGTTAAAAAATAAATCAAAGTTAATCCTCAGGGGTTAAAAAAAATTAGATCACAGTATAATACTGTGATCTGTATTTGATCGCTGTAGGCAGTGATCGACTGGCAGGGAAGGGGTTAATTTTTATTTGGACTTGGTAAAGGTGGGGTTTTTTTATTTTTTACTTAAACGTTATTAAAACTTTTTTAAGCTTAATTTTTAACTTTTTAAAGTTTATTTTAAAACTTTTTTTAACGTTAACCCCTAGTTAGCCTAACGCCAAATCCCCCCATTCCACCCACCCCAGCTAGCTAGATATATAATTTTAAAATATTTTAATTAATTAATGAATTAATTAAATAAATTTAACCCCTGAGGGTTAAAAAAAAAGGATTAACCCTCAGGGGTTAAAAAAAAAAAATCAGATCATAGTAAAATGTAATCCCTGCCAATTGATCACTGTAGTCAGTGATCAATTGGCAGGGAAGGGGTTATTTTTTTATTACAATGGGTAAAGGGGGGTGAGACTTTAAATTAACTTTATTTATTTTTACAGCAGGGGGCAGGATCAGCACTGTTCCGGCTCCCTGCACTTCACACAGAACCAGGAAGTGCAGGGAGCCGGAAGGTAAGTATACAGAGCACATGTGCTCGCTCTGACTTGCGGTGTTAATTTTACCGCGTGACGGACGAGGTCCGTCACTCGTCACTAAGGGTCTCCCCTCTGTGACGGACCTCGTCCGTCACCCGTCCTTAAGGGGTTAAAAGTGATTTTCTAAAATGGCTGCCTATTTATATAGCCCAGTCCCTTACCCTCTAACCATCAATACCTACATAGCTTCCTCTTGTGCCCGTCTCCTAGCCCTGTCAAGCCCCTTTCACTAAGCTAAAGAAAAAAAGGCAAAAAAGTTACCTAACTTTTTTCTTTGGTTTTTACTATATGTATTGGAGCTGGTGTGTACTGTGGTCATTGCTGCTGCCCAGTAGTGATGGGAGTGAGCGCACGGCTTTTCTCTTTGTATTTGTATTCCCTTTCACTAAGCTGTTCTTTTGTTACATTCTTCTGAGGCAATACTTTCCTACGGGGAAGGCCTAATGTGCGCACACTACTTGCCTCTCTTGCACATTTGGTCCCCCACATCGGCTGTTATCCGCGATAAAGGAGCGCGACCCAACACCGACGAACATGGGTTCTCGAATCAGGTAAGTAAAAGAAAGGGTATTTTCATGTTTGGGCAGAGAGATACTTGAGTGTTACGAATACATTTTTGTATTCCTAACACTAAAATGTTCCTTTTAGGGCAGTAGGCTGATTCTTTGAAAAGGTAAAAAGTAAATCTTTTATTCTTCTTGTTTAATCAATATTATGGTTAACCCCTATCTGTGTGTGTTTGGCTCTATTTTTTGGACCTAATTACAAATATATGGTTCTTCTCTATCAATAGACATAAGACACAAGGACAAAGCTCCCAAAAAGATAAAACTGGGATTTTTTTTATACAAAAGGTAAACAAGTTAGTGTAACACTAAAGTGTACAAACAGTGTAGCTGCATCATGCAATATTAGCTGCAAAATTGTAAAGTGCTGCAGAATTATTTGACGCTATATAAATACCAATAATAATAATAATAATGCAGGAGGCAACTGTCAGATAAAGTGATATACAGATACAGAGAGTGAAATATTGCATCCCTCATCCCTCATCCCACATTCCAGTTTTCCAACTTGGAATGTTCGCAGGTATTCATCATGCACCCAGGTTCTATTTGGGACATTTTTTAAGCCGGCCAATGTAATTTACCTCCATCAAACCATATCTTTTTAAAAAGTAGACACCCTATGGTATTTCAAATGGTGGTATTTTAACACTTTCCATGCACTAACTCTACCACCAGTCTTTGTCAATCCTTTGGGTAGTCATTTGTTTTTTAATTTTCTCTCACATTGTACTTTAGGCATGGATTCTCAGTTCCTGTTATGTGTTACTGACAAAGAACACCCCCATTTGTGTTCAGTAAAATCTCCCGAGTACAACAGTGCCCCTCATGTACAGGTTTTATGTTTTTTTGCAAACTTACAGGGGTCAAATATAGGGCTTTACGCTTTTCCATGTTTGCTCATTGAAATTTGCCAGATTGGTTTGCTGGGCCTATGTTGCCTTTGAGACCGTATAGCAGCCCAGAAATGAAAATGAACCCTACCTTGACATACCATTTCAAAACATAGACACCCCACAGTATTCAAAATGGGTTATGTTCAGTCTTTTGTAGTAGCCACTTAGTCACACAAACACTGGCCA